GAGCTTTTGTTGAATAGTTACTACCATTAAAACTACAAACATTGTTATTATTATTAAACGCAAAATCAACATTAAATTTTCTTTTATATTCATTGCCAAGGTGATATGTTTTCTTTTTTAATTGATCCTTCAAAAACATAAAACGTCTAGCTTTGTCCAAAAGATTAAACTTTTCATCATCAAGTTTTCAACAATTATACTACTTGCTGATCGATTTAAATCATTGATCAAACAAGAAAGGAAAATAATAATAATAATATGCTTATTTGATTTAGATGTATAAGCATCATAATAAATAAAAACAAATACAATGATGTCTCGCCCAACTAGTATAAAGAAGGAATGAGCCAAATTGGTGGTGGCCAAACAAGATTAGAATCATATTTGTAGCCTACCAATGACTCAATTTTTTTGCTATTCAAGTCATACACACCTATATCAGATTTGAGCCTCCAGATATTCTTTTATAGTGACAACTAAACATGTTGTTTATAAAGTATATAATATTTCTTTTTAGTTCAGAAAAATCTAAGGATGATCTTGACATTGAAGTGTTAAACAAAATCCAAAATATATACCATTCATGCATCTAATTGATAAAGAGAAAGACAATTATAAACTTAAGTAACACACTTATTTTTAATTTTTTTATGCCTTGTGCATCTGAAACCTTTTTTTTTAAGGGATGCAGGAAATGAATAGACAAGAGATGAGATAGGATATCATCAATATAATTTTTTTTTCTTGTTAATAGTGTGTACAATCACTTACAAAAAATATTTATGTATTAAATTTTGGAGAGAATTGTCAACATAATTTTTATCATTTTATTTTCTCTATTTTATTAAAAAATCTATAAAAAGTAGAGACAATAGAATATATTATATTGCTATTTACATGAGAAATTATTAATGTAATTTTTTTATTTCTATGTTCATTGGAAATTGTTTGTAGAATGTTTTTTTTTTGTCAATATTTTTGTCAACAGAATATCCTAGTACACATTTTTGTATTTTTTTTAAGTTTTCAAGAATAACGAACACACACTTTATATGTATTTTTTCCATGCAAACACCATTTTTTTAGTCAAAGGCATTGCCATCAACCAAGGCCATCAACTCTCCACCAATGATAAGTATGGCACATCAAATAAAATATTCTTACCAACATTTGCACCAATAAAAAATCTAACCCAACATCCAATAACTCAATATTTCATTAAAATATTTTCTTTCTCTATATAGTAATTTCAAGGATAAGGTATATAAATATATTCAGTCAACAAGGAAAAAAACAAGCCTATCCTTAGCCATACAGATGCAAGGCCATACTATAATACACAAAGCCCCGACCATGTAATATACAAGTTTTAGGTAATAAAAAGTCAAATCAGTTATTGACCATACAAGAGATAAGTCTTATAAATATAGACCAAGAAAATATTTTCCATGTTACACATATAAATTTTCTATTCATACATTTCTCTTCACACACACACTCTACATTTCTCATACACTTGCTAGCTTAAGCGTTGGAGGGTCACATGTCTTAATAGATGACTTATTTTACAAGAAAGCTCATGGACTCACCAAGCCTAGTCACTCCATCAACCTAGGAGGTAGCCATAGAAAGCCTAATTTTGTCTAAAAAGATTTTTGACCTCATTAACAGTGTCGTTTATGATAAATATACAAAAGCTAGTTCATTTCCTTTCACTTCTAATCAAAAGTATTTTTCATGGCTAATAAAACTATAGTAAAAAATAGAATAACTAATCTCTCCATCGTAGGTACTCTAGCCCTTGCAGTCTCTAAGAACTCTCTCATCAACTCCAACTTCTCAACAATTTTATTCAAGCCATATAAAAACAACTTTGCACTTCTCTATTAGAAATACAACACGCAATTCCATTACGTGCACTAAATATTGATGAGTTTCAAAGTCATGTAAATTTAAACCCTTAAAATCAATGATTTGTAGTATACAAAATAAAGGTATCGTATCATAAAGATATAAATATTAGAACTTGATTATTTAATTAAGACAAGCTATTTAAATTTAAATTAAAGCAAACAAAGCAAAACTACACTAAATATTCTTTAATTGATAAGTAAGTAAAATATGAGTTTCTTATGATCTAAACTAACTAAAACATCTTAGAAAGTTAGGAAAACAAAAAAAATCAATTCTGAAAATTAAGAGATATATTGACATAATGAAAAATATAGAGAGATAAGGTTTTAACATTATTTTTAAGAAAGTGTTTCTCAATGATAATTTAACATCAATCAATGAATTAGATTTTTTTTTCTAATATGATTTGTGATCATAAGTAAATCAACTATGAAAAACAAGTTTTTCTGCTTGTCCTTACTTTTTAGTTAATATAACATATATGCATCAATTAACCCTGATCAAATAATAACTTTTATTAAGCATGCAAGATTTAATTACATGATAGCATTAAAATTGAGGTGTAATTGATTCATGATAATTAAACACATATGAGGAGTTAATTTAATGAAAACTTACATTTCTCAAATAATAAATAATCAAACATGGTTTTGAAAGTTAAATTCTTTTGCTATTTAAGTTAATTAGTCATGAATTCATCATAAATTACTCACTACAAATAGATTTAAAACAAAAAAATTTATCTATGCATTATATAAATTTTTGTCATCAATCATTAACTTTAATCATAGAAAAACATAAAATATTCATGTATCACAATTAGATATAGAATGATTTTAAACACAAACTTTCATGTTATTCAAAATTCAAGAGTGCTAACATCTTAAAATTAAGAACTAAGTTTGTTGTAAATTCAAAAAAGGAAAACACATTTTAAAAAATTAAAAAAAATAAATACCTTGTTGTCTTCTCCTTTATTCTAAATATGATCCTTTTTTTAGAGGCTAAGATTGGTTTTATGGATATTAGAAGGTGAAGAAGTTTCCTAGTTCATAACTAATTTCTATTCAAATTACTTTAAGGTTTTCTTACAGTAACCTGATTCTAATGATTTATGCATTGAATTTGACTATTTAAAAAGGTTTTCTAGTTATATGAACCCTTACCATGTTATTAATAAGCTATCAGGTCATCATCCCAACATGAAAAGATTGGATGGACTTGTGCTAGTCCATTGACAACTTTCAAGCATAGTTTCAAAGATATTTTTCTCTATTTTCTAAAGGAGTTACTAAACATATCATATGTGGGTGGAAAGCTTAAAATATCTAGTTTTTATCCTAATTTTAATGCAAAAAAAATACCACATATAACTTTAGATATAGTCCAAAGAGCACACAATGGTTCAATCTAACAGATTTACTCTAATTAATCCTAATCCCACTAGGATTTTCTATTTAAGTTGAATTTCTAATGCAATTAGAATTTACACTTCTTTGCTTCTATGACTCATCCCAATATGCTATTTCTAGTCATTTACTTGAAATTATGTTAAAAATGCTCCATTTAGCTCCATTTACATTTTATGTCTCTATAACATTATTAAGCACAAAATAAGTTATGTATACTATTGTAAGACATATAACATCAATAAAATACAAAGAATAAGGTACTAAAATAGATAGAATAATATAAGTATATCAAATACATAAAGATAACTCTATTTCCATAAAAGAATAAGATAGAATGATGTGTGGAGTATGCATAATACTCTAACTATTTAAATGGCTTACTTTCACTATGAAAAGCACTTCTTAACATGTCCACACCATATTTATAGTTATCTTGATTAATCCTCCTCTAACTCTCACTTATATACTCCTTTATATAAAAAATATCTAGACCTAAGATCAAATTAGTTCCTGCATTACCTTCTAAAAATGAATACCATTTCAATTATATGATAGACTATTCTCTTTGTCATTCGCCTTTTCAAAGAATGTGTCTTTGCAAAGATCAACTTGAACAACTATGACAGTCTTATATATCCTATAGAGCACATCCAAAACATCACAAACATTCTAGAACTTATGATACGAAAGAGTGGCATGAACTGATACGATCTAAGTAAGGTCAGATTCAAATTTTGACTTATAATTTTCTAATGTCTAGTTTTACACTATTAAGTATAACTTCAAATATAACTGCTAGATCGAGCCAAAATTTTACTAGAAGATTTCAGAGATATTTGTATAAGTTGGGGTAAACTTTTAGGTGAATCGGAGTTCGGGAAGGACTTGCGATATAATTCAGAACAGGCTATATAAATTTTATTATTTACTTCTTTTTGACTTATGAACTTTCTATTTATTAAAGATTATTTTCCTATAAGAATGCGACAACTTGTTTTGAAAATCTCCTAGTTTTATAAGAATTTTTAATAGGTTACAGTATAATTTTTTTGTGATATTGAGATTCATATCACAAACACAATAAATCCTTATAAGTTCTTTCACTTCCACACGTAACCACCATTGAGTGATGCCATATCCTAAAAAGTTAAATAGAAATATCAATCTTTAAACCGTAACCACCATCATAATATTGAGTGATGCCATATCTTAAAAAGTTAAATAGAAATATCAATCTTTATGAAATATCTCCAATAATTTATGGAAAAAAAGATGCAATATAATAAACAAAAAGTAATCTCAAATGACACACTATTCAAAATAATTTTAGGAATTATATCTCAACAATCTCATAAAATTTTAAATAAAAAAGTTAATATTTATGATCAACCTTTCCCACCTGTACCAGTACCTTTCTTTCTTTCAAATCTTTGCTCCTCATTTATCATCACTCATTGCTACTTTATCCGAATACATGGACCACCTGTTTTTTAGCTACAACTCCTTGAAACCCTTCAAGCCTACTTTACCAAGGAAGATTCTAGAATTTTCACCCACACTGAAATTTCCACCTCAAAGATTCTCATGGCACACAGTTCAATAACATCAACAATTTTCTCAAGAGGTGTGTTATTATTGTGTTTTTTATATTAAGATGTAAGAAACTTTCAAAAATGATCATATAAATATCCGAAACTTTACCTTAAACATTCGACAACAATCAACAAATCAAATCCCTCCCTTCTGCACAATCTAACATTTAATCAATAAGCTAAATGTTGTCCACTTAATTAGCTTCAGAGTTAATTAAAATTAAGATAACCACATCAATAATAATCAACCATTAATTTAATTTGATTTCATTTTTCATTTAAACTGGGTACTGATAACAAAGACAAAATACCAATCACATAATACCCAGTAGGGGACATGGCCCAAGATCCCATGCTAAAATAGATTAGGGTCTGTTTGGAATAGATAAAGATGTGGTTTTTTAAAAAGCCCATACAAGCATTATATAAGTTGCACATAGAAAGAAGCAACTACGTATATCTACCCCACTAAATTTATACCCACCGGCAGCAGCATCGTCCATTGATCAAGTCAACCGTCACCATCCAAAATAAAGATCTAGGAACCCATATTAGCGGCCATCATCTTTTGAAATTCCTCAAAATTAACACACCCATCACCATCAGAGTCAACGTTCTTAATCATCTTCACGCACTCGTCCACCTTGCACTTCATCCCCAACCGGCTCAGCACCTGGTGCAGCTCCGCCGTTGAGATCAGCCCATCACCGTTCTGATCATACAGATCAAACGCGTCCCTCAGCTCAGAGGCGGCGGACGCAGTGGAGGACGGTCGACAAAGCTGCGCAAACTCTGCCAAATCAATGTGTCCGTCCTTATTGCTGTCGACATCCTCCATCACGCGGCAGAGCTCCTCCGTGGTGTAGGTAGACCCCGTGGATTTCAGCACTTCTCCGAGCTCCGAAGCTGAGATCTTGCCGTCACCGTTTGCGTCGAATTGGTCAAAGACCACCTTGAGATCCTCCGTGTCGTTGAGTTTCGCGGCGGCGGCGGGTTTTGGTGCAGTGGTTTTGGCGTTTGGGGTTGCCATTTTAGGGAATTTTTTAAAAGGGAAGAAGGAAAGTGAGTTTCCGTTGCACGAGTAAAGAGAAAGGGGATATGGAGGGGGAGGAAAGGAAACTGGAAATTTATATAGGATGAGAGGAGTGGCGAACACTACAGATGAGGCGTGTACACTGTATAGAGAGAGAGAGAGAGAGAGAGAGAGAGAGGAGAGAGAGAGTGGGATGCAATATTTAATTTTGACACGTATGGGATGGGGGACGGGAAAATTGGATGGTCCATGCTGCTTTTGGGAATTTTGTTAACGGTGCGGTTATATTGTTTTTTAAAATATTTTTTATTTAAAAAATTATTAAAATAATATTTTTTATTTTTAAAAATTATTTTTTATATTAGTGTATTAAAATAATATAAAAAAATTAAAAAAATTTAATTTAAAAATAATTTTTTTTAATTTTTTTAAAATCCAAAAATAAACTGGGCCTCATGAATTAAAGTAGAGTTTTTATATGTAAAATTTTTATTTTTTATCATTTGATTATGTTAATGAAAGTTACTGAAGAATAATCGTTTGGTGTTTTGCACGCATGCAAGCCAAGTATTGATGTCACCTAAACTTGGATTTTCTGCTCTCCTAATAACTAGTTTGAGAGTGTGGTTAGGATATTCTTTTCTAAAAAAAATTAAATATTTTAAATTATTATTTTTTAATATTTTTTTATTTTGATATATTGATATAAAAAATAAAAAAATATTATTTTAATATATTTTTAATACTCTCAAATAAGTTTTTATACTAATACTCGGTGAAACTTTTTATTTATAATTTATCAAGTTTCACAGCAACTAATGACTTAGAAATATGTATGGAGTTATCTTCAATCCATACTTGGTTTAACAAGAATATTTACATATTAAGAAAATGTTTATTTTACGATTCAATTTGTTTTTTAAACTGTTTTTTAAACTATTATTTTTTTATGTGAAAAGTCTTGAAATAAATTTTTTATTATATTTATTTTTAAAAATTTTAATATGCTAACATCAAAAATAAAAAAAAATATTATTTTAATATATTTCTTATTAAAAAAACACTCTATACTATATTAACAAAACATTTAGCATGTGGTTGGCAAAATAAAGTAGACATTATCGTAATGACAGACTAAGGATCTGCTGTAAATTTAAGCATATATCTTTAATAGGCAAACTAACTGTTAACACAATGAGTTTTAACAATTAAACTAATTTAAGCCCTGCAGGCAACAAAGTTAATAGGTTTAACTTGTGAAGGTACTAAGAAGTAGAGTTGTATCATGTATGTTTATTTGGGGTTCTACATAGTTGTTGGTATAAAGTTTGTCAACCTAAAAGATGTAGTGGTTTGGGTTTATGAAATTTAAGATATGTTAAGGATGCCTTTTTTTTATTTTTTTTTTCCTCTCAAGATTTTATGGAATTTGCTTGCTACTAAATCTCTTGGTAAGGAACATGGGCTGTTGGTTTAGCTATGTTGCTTTTAATTGCGGGTATAGATTGTAAGTAACATTCTCGTGAGCATTGTTTTGTTGAAAAAAAGATATAAATATTAGTATATATGCTATATAATCAATTAGTTGGTTATACATAATATTAACTTTGTTCATATAAATATATTTAATTTATTAACAAAGGTTTGCTTATCTTTAATATTTATCAAATATTTAATTAATAAATTTAGAGTAAAGATAAAATCTTTAGAATTAAAATTATTTTGTAGAAAAAATCATAAAGTTGTTATAATTATAGGAATACTATTATATCAAAACTTTGTTCCTAAATGTTATTGGTTAATGCTTTATTAAAATTGAATATTATATAGAGTTGTTGATACTAATACATATCATGTTCTTTTGTATATGAAAGGAAGTAGTTGTTCTCATAAACTATAGTCCGAGGAATACCTAGAACTAATATGTAGGTACTTGTTAGATGATATGTACACTAAGTTGATTTACACGAAATTCCCATATAGAAAGATCATTTATGTCTATGAAAAAAACTCACATGATAGTTGTGTATATAATCCTTATATTTGAGATCACTAAGTTATCTTATCTATGAAATGTTATGTTTTGATCTTATTGCATGTTGTTTTAATTAAGGGTAACAAATGAGCAAATATTGGGTATAACAAGAGCTATATGAAGATATTTATATAATCAAGAGATATTTCATCACTGTAGGTGAATTAGATAAAATATCATATATGTTCTCAAATAATATTGATTATAAATCTTTGCATAATGTTAAATGATATTTGAAAAGAATTCTAAATTTTATTTTACAAAATCAATGATTATGGTGTTGATAACAAACATCGTTTAACAAGGTAGACACACTCCATTATATAATGTCTAAATCAGAAAATTATTAATGAAGAAATAATAATTACACTAAGATATTAGTTAATGAAAGGTTAAATTAAATCACTTATGACTTTTCTAATATTTGGAGGATTATGACAGGTTGATAAACATTGTATTTAATCTTAAAATATAAATAAATCAATTTTTGAATTGATAATAAATTAATTAATTTAATCCTATTTTATTTAGGATTGTGATTTATATTATAATCAACTTATTAGAAAACCTAATAGGTCACACATATAGGAATCATTGGTCAAAAACTAAAATGAGATAATTAATCAAATGTGACTTAATTGTAAATAAGTTATAGAAATTAAGGGTTATAATGTAATTTATATAAAAATTATAATTATAGACCTAAAAAAATCAAATAGGAATTTGATCAAATAAATTTTTAAAATTATCCTAAAATAATATATGTGATATAATTCAAGAAAAATTGATATTTTGCTATTTATAGAATTTTTAGGTTTTTCTATAATAAAAAAAGTTATGCCTCTTATTTTAGTATAATAAGTGGTACACGATACAAAAACTATGTAAGTTATAAAATACCTGAAAAACACAAAAAAAAAAGGTAGCATCAAAGGTCTAATAATTCATCTCTTCTTAAAAGGGTTTAAAATATTTCTTACTAGTGGTTCAAGTATATTACTGTTAGATGTCTGACATTTAGATAACTTGTAGTTTGCGTAATCAAGTCTTGAAACAATTATTCAAAGTAGAAAAGAATGTCTAATTTCAAGTAATATTCTTATAAACCCGAAACAACCCTATATCTATCTAACAAATCCTTAAGACTCTTGAAAAATTTTGAATTTACCACTGACGCTGCGTGCAAGTGCTCAACAATCAACTCATAACATACAAAGCTGACGTGATCAAAACATGATATGGAAAAAAAAAATAAAAACAAAATAATGATGTTCGAACTTTATTTTTTCATAAAAAATATTAAATAACACTATTTTTTAATTAAAAAATGAATATTTAGGTCTCGAGAAACTTTTTGATAATGTTATTAAACCAAACTTAGGAGATTAACTTTGAAACCTCTTAACTCGACTTTTTGCTTAACTTGACCTTTAAATTAAATCCCATAGGAGTTGCCACAATTGACAAAGTCGATTTTAGAGAGTTGAAAGATAACTTGAATAAATGGTAAAAATATGTTTTATTTTTTTAAAAAAATCAAGATAACATCATTTAAAAAATTTAAAAAAATCAAGATAACATCATTTAAAAAAAAATACTAAAGATAGTGATATATTCAATCAACCCCGAACCTATGTTAACACGCCAAATTCACAATACAAGTTATTGACACGACTAGAATGAGCTAACCTAGTTAAGTTATCTATCTTCTTTTTTTCCCATCCTATTTTCTTTCCCTAGTTGGGTTTTTATTAAGTTTTGATGTTATGAAATTCAAGACTAAATTAAAGAGTTATCAGAGAATTATGAATTAAATTTAAAAATAAAAAATAGTAAAAACATATGATTTGACACAAAATGACAAAGTCTATTTGGTTGGTCCAAATGAAATTTGAAAAAACAGGTAAAATCATGATTTGACTTTAGTTTTTTTTTAAATGATGTTTTTTTATATATTGAGATAATAATATATTAGATTGATTTTGATTAACTTAGGTTAACATGCTAAATTTACCGTTTAGGTCATAAACATAACCATGATGAAAAACCAAGTTATGCCACTTGTTTCTTTCTTTTTCCATCTTTTCTTCTCTTTCCTGGTAGGCCTATTGGACTCAGGTAGGATAAAATTCAAATATAAATTGAAGAGTTATTAAAGAATCAAAGATTTAATTACAAAAAAAAACTTCTTGAGTGTTTAATTCATGTCTTAGTATACTGGGGAGGTCATTGCATTAAGGTGGCACGTGCAGCTTCCTCCGAGATCTGATGGTGACCTTCCTTAATGTTAATAAAAACATCTTAATAGGGGTTTCCTTCCAAGATGACGTGTGGTAGTGACAAAGTTCTAGTGTCCTTTCAATGATTTATTTTTTCTTTTTTTTTCTCTTCTTCTCTCGATTCTCACACCTAAATTTTTTCCTTCTTGAGACTGAAATGGTTGGATTTTCTTTCTAATTCTAAGTTGTAGCCCATATGAAGAATCTCAAACTTAAATTAATATATATAGAAAGAGATATAGATGAATGAAAAGTTCCTCTATTTTTCATTGCTTATAGTATGCACATGGTTGTATATTTAAACACAAAAGTTTATAACTGTTTCCTATACTTTAGCTATTCAAAACTCAAAAATACTATCATAATTATAATAGGGTTGTTGCTGCAAGATATTAGGGATAGTCATCATGTTTTGACTGAGTTTATCTTAGGATCAAATTTATCTCTAACATGCCCCCTCAACCGAATAGGCAAATCTTGAACGTGAAGTTTGTCGCGCAAAAGCTGAAAACGAGCAGAGGACAAAGACTTGGTTAATAAATCAGCAAGCTGCTGCTTTGTAGATAGAAATGAGACTTGAAGGTTATTTGCCAAGACTTGATCCCGAACATAGTGAAAATTTATTTCAATATGTTTAGTTCTTGCATGGAAGATTGGATTGGAGGATAAATATGTTGCACCAAAATTATCGCACCATAATTTTGGACTGGCTGGCAAAGGGAATCGTAGATCATAGAGAATGGATTGGATCCAATGTAATTCAGCCGCTGTGTTGGATAGTGATTTGTATTATGATTCAGTACTGCTGCGAGCAACAGTTTGTTGCTGTTTACAGCTCCAACTTATAAG